CCCAAAACCCTAACCCTAAACCCTAAACCCTAAACCCTGGGAGGCGCTTCTGGAAGCTTAGGACCCTAAATCCTAGATTCTACATCCTAAATCCGAGTCCTAACATCCAAGCTCCACAAATCCTAAGTCCTAATCCTACATCCGAAATCCTAAATCCGGAAGCCTCAATCCTAAATCCCAATTCTAAATTCGAAATCCTAAGCCCTTGGAGGCTCTTATAGGCCCTAAACCCTAAACCCTAAACCCTAAACCCTAAACCCTAAACCCTAAACCCTAAACCCTAAACCCTAAACCCTAAACCCTCGGATTCCCTTCAAGAGTCTGAGTCTATGGCTCCATCCCTCGTCAGGGCTACTCGGAGACCCTTAAAAATTCTCAAGCATCCCCAAAGCCTGAGGGTTTAGGGTTTAGGGTTTAGGGTTTAGGGTTTAGGGTTTAGGGTTTAGGGTTTAGGGTTTAGGGTTTAGGGTTTAGGGTTTAGGGTTTAGCCTTCCGCTTGTCCTTCGTTACCCGGTGCTCAGCACTGAGACAATCGTGCTTACATACTCCATGCACGACAATCGTCTCTGTCCCGCCGTCGAGATTTTTTGAAAACTACAAACAACACAGTGGGGGGGGAGCCTATATGCACGCACATACACATGTACATATACACATATTTTTCCCGAAGGTACCAAAAAGGGGCCAACTTATTTAGAGCAACCCGCACACACTTTTTTTGGTTGGGGTTGACCGCCTCGGCTGAGAAGAGGTGTCAAGAAGCACAGTCAGACTCACAGCAAACGTGCTTCTCATCATGTCCGAACGCCTCGAAACCCTACACCATCCTACATCCCATAAATGCCTACAAGCCCTGGGCCCTCAAACTTCTCAATCGTTTCAGTCTAAACTTCCCTAAACCCTAAACCCTGAACCCTGAACCCTAAACCCTAAACCCTAAACCCTGAACCCTGAACCCTAAACCCTAAACCGGCTTCGAGGCTTCGGTTCTGGTATGCAGCCCTGCTGCCTGAAAACTGAGCGCATGGTCACATTTGGCGGCTGCCGGGTGGCTCGACGAATAGGCGGGAGCGAGAGAGCGAAGGTTCTGACCCGCCTCGGCCTGAGCTTCTGTAACGCGGTTTAAGGTTTAGGGTTTAGGGTATAGGGTTTAGGGTTTAGGGTTTAGGGTTTAGGCCACCCAAACCGGAGAGGGGAGGGAGTGGGGCATGGGTGGGGGGGCAAAATACAGAAACGCAAACCATAGGCCGTGGGGAGGGGATTAGAGGTGGGGTGCCTGCTTTGTGCTACCCAGACACCTACGGCCCACAGCCCGAGGCCTCGGCAGATGTAGGTCGGAGACTTCTCAGGGCCAAGCGCCAACTTTTGATCAAGCTGTGGCAAGTATGGTCCACGTCTCACATCATTCAGGAGGGCTCACTGGCTTCGCTGTTGGTCGCTGCCCCCGGAGCGCGCGTGAGGCGGGAATTTAGGGTTCAGGGGTTGCACAAGGACAATAATCAGCGCAAATGATTGAAGATATCCATCCAATGATCTGGTCAGTGTTCAAAAGGTGAATCTCAGAGTCATCACTGCCGCAACATGTCGCTAGCTGCCTCTAATGCAGCTTGCGGGCAATCAGGCCGCCAAGCTCGTCGGCCAACAAGGCCTCGTTGTTACCCCCGACTTTCTGGCAGAAGGCCAGAGGTTTAGGGTTTAGGGTTTATGTGAAACTTGTGAACCTATTTGGGTGGATTACTCTGATCCACAGTTGTGCTGCAAATGCACAGTAGGTAGAGCACAGTCGAGAGGGAACTTTCTTTTGCTCTTTCTTGTCAGCGGGTTTCAGCTCAAGGCCTTGTTCGGACCAAAAGCGAAAGCATTTATAGCTTCAGCAGTCCACCCACGCCCACAAAACTACAATGCAAACTAATGCAGCCAAGCGGTAGTTGTGCTGCTGGGGTACCTGCAGTCAGCGCGCCATATGTCACACCCCCTTTTGTCGGTGATCTGCAAGGTGCGCCAACACGAGGTCCGTCTCTGATTTGAGGGATACATGAAGACGAAGCAAAGTGCTTCCGATTCCCTGGCTTCTCTGGCCTGCTTGTTCCCCATAATCAGAACGACACCTCTCACCAACCCAGACAGCAAAGGTGTGGCACCACGCTGCTCCTTTCGAAAGCCTTTACTGTTCATACCACACCAGATACAGAGTTCACTGATGTTCATCCACCATTGCTTGCAGTACTGTCAGCGTCCATCTCCAAACTTTGCCTCGTTGAGCACCTGTGTTGAACTCTTCTTGATGAGGCCCCAAACACATAGTCTCAAATAGACCAATCTCAGAGCCATGGCGGCGGCGATGAGGCCAAGGAAGGAAAGGTGAGGGCTAGGTCTTACAAGAGCTTCCACCCCTGCTTGCTGCCCGGAGCAGCTTTGTCACAGTCCCTGCTCTGACTGTGATACGAAAGACCACGCCCAAATTGACGTAGCGGATCCGAGTAACCCATGCGCTGTACATTGGCACCTTTGGTACCGCAAAAGACCTGTACAGAAAATATGTGCTTTAAGCTATATGCAGTTGAAAACGACTACCAAAGCAAGTTACGAAAACAATCAAAGAGATCTCCAAAATCTCTCTGACTTCGCGCTGGCAACCTCCTAGACGAACTACACTTTGAGCTATATACAGTGGAAAATAACTACCAAAGCACGTTAGGAAAACAATCAAAGAGATCTCCAAAATCTCTCTGACTTCGTGCTTGCAACCTCGTAGACAAACTACATATAAACAACTAGCCATATCGCTCGAAATCAGGAATGGTTGTCTTCACTCCCTCATACCAGCGAATGATGCGGCAGATTTGCTGCTCCGAGTACTTGGCCTGTACATCCTGCAAAGTGAGCATCGGCGTCCGCTTGAGCCCAGCTGTTGCCTTTGGCAAAGCTTCAGCCTGTACAGATGACTCCACCTTCGGTGGATGCTCTTCAGGAAACGCTCTAAACTCCGGAGCCTGAGTAGGCTTACTTGGAAAAGCACGTGAGCTATGCGGGGCTGCAGAAACTTTCGGGAGAGGTGAGTCTGAAGCCTTTGACTTCTTGGTTGGGGGACCTTCCGGCTCTGCCGGTGGATCCGAGCCCCGAATGAAAATACCAGGTGGTCTATTCAAAGTGGGCTCATCTTGCCTACTTACTACTCCGCGTCGCCGCTGGTTAGCTGAGTGTTGCATTTCCTGCAACTCTGCTGCGCGCCCCTCCATTTTGGGCCGAAAAACTATACGAACAAAAATTCTTAAATCCTGCTAATAAAACTTCACGCACACAAACACACACGTGCAAATTAAAAATCCCGCATCATCTGTATACATGCATATAAACAAAAATCAGACGTGAGACCCTATCCTAAACGGTCCTAAACCCCCGTTTCAAGCACCCAGCCGCAGGGAAGGTCAAAACATGCATGTTTGAAACACTTCAGCCTATGTCTGGACTCAACAGCGCT